GCAGGAGGAGGCAGGGTAGGGAGCAGAAAGCGGAGCAGAAGACGGGGCGGGGGGACGCATGGAGGGAGGCAGAAAGCAGAGCAGCAGGTCGGGTGGGGAGGAAGGAGCAGAAAGAGCAGCCAACCAACTGTCCGGGGAGGGTGTGCTGAGGGGAGGGTGTGGTGTTCATTTGTCACTTCTGCCAGAAATCTCGCCCCCCCCCCCCCCACCACACCCCCCCAATGAAATGGAGGGCATTGACAGGTAAATTATGACAGTTAAAGAGGTGTTTCTAAATTTGGCTTCTTGACAACAGTGTTTTTAAGCTGGACGCAGATATTTACATGATTTTGAAAACTTTCCAATAATAATCATTGTTTTCGGCTTTCTCCAGAACCTTGGACAAAAATCAACAAGGGGCAGATGTGAAACCGAACTAGTGCTTTTTTAGGCTAGGGACAGACATTACACATAAACTGGTTTAAGTGATCAGAAACTGGTTTAAACCTATAACAGAACAGACATTCAGGGCACATAAACCAGTTTGAGGAGGACCTGGTTGAGTGTAGTATCAGACTTAACTGATTTGGCTCAAACCAGTTTATGCAATGTCTGTCTGTCTGTCTGTTTAATCTCAAAGGTTTACAAAAAAATAACTATCAGCACAAAATGAGGGAAAACGCAGATTTTACATCATTATTTTATTTATTTTTTTGCTCAATGGTCTGAGGTGATACATGTGACAACAAATGTGCTTATGTTTACAATCTGTTACTTAAGTTGGCCAGGAGGATAAATGATCTGGGAGCACAAATGACCTTCTGGTTGATCCTCTCTTTGTAAGGCAAGCAGGGGCCATCGTGCCCTGGAAGTGCATGTGGCTGGGACCGGGGTGTTGATGTGAAGCCTTTGGATTCTTTGACAGCAGGCAGATGTTCTGGGAGGAGGCCTGCTATCAAGAGATGGGATCCACCTGACCAGAACTGGAAAGAGCATCTTTGGACATGGTCTGGCCAATCTAGTAAGGAGGGCTTTAAGCTAGGTTCAAGGGGGATGGTGAACAAAAAAGCCACATAGTGCAGAGGGGAAGACACTAGTGAGTCACAGGACAGCAACAAGTGGTGCAGAAGGGAAGTGAATAGGTCAGAATACAAAATACATTTGATGTGTGGATGCAAATGCAAAAAGTATAGGGAAGAAACAAGAAGAGCTGGAGACTGCAGCCTGTGAAAAGAACTATGACCTGATTGGTATCACAGAGCCCTGGCAGGACACCTCTTATTACTGGGATGTCAACACTGAGGGGTTTACCCTTTGTTTTGAAATGATGGGGTTGGGGAAAAAAGGTAGTGGTATTGCCTTCTATGTCAAAAACATACGCTTGTTGCTGGACTCAGTAGGAAGAAGATAGCGGAGCAGAATGCATTTGCGTGAAGAGGAAAGGTGAAAGATGCAGCACTGATATAATGGTGTGGATCTATTGTAGGCCACAAAATCAGGAAGAGGTGTCTCCAAAAGCTATGGGATGGTACAGATGGGAAACTTCATTTTTCAACATCTGCTGGAAGAACAATACAGCCAAACACAAAATGTCAAGCCAATTCCTAACTTGTGTGGAAGACAACTTTCTGTTCCAGAAAGTAGAGGATACAACTAAGGGATCATCTGTCTTGGATCTTGTCTTGACCTACGGGAAATAACAGGTGGAGGATGTGAAGATGATGGGCAACTTGGGAGGAAGTGATCACAATCTGATATAATTCTAGGTCCTGAGATGAGGAAAGCATGGTGTCAGCAAAAGTAGGATGCTAGATTTCAAACAGGTGTATTTCACCCAACTCGGGGAGCAAATAGGCATGGTTCCTTGGAAAGATAGCCTGAAGAAGAAAGGCACCCAGGAGGGCTGAGAGCTTCTAAAGTGCACAGCATTGGAAGCCCCCAAAAAACTGTTCTGACATGATGAAAGTGCAAGAAAAATGACAAGAGACCAATGTGACAGCACAAGGAGATTCTAGGATGCATCCAGTGCAAAAGGAAAGCGTACAGGCTATGGAAAACTAGACAGGTCACCTAAAAAGCTTACTGGGAAGTAGTAAGAACCTACAGGGACAGAATCAGGAAGGCAAAGATAAAGCATGAGCTGCACCTGGTGAGGGAGATGAAAAACAACAAAAAGGTTCTATAAGTATTTGGGCTATAAAAGAAAGATCAAGAAAGCTGTAGGCCTACTGTTAAGTAACAGGGAGGGGGGCACTCTAAGCAGAAGATGTAAAGAAGGTGGAGCTGCTCAATGCTTCTTTGCTTTAGATGTCATAAAAACATTTAAGCTGCAGCCAGACACCTAATAAAGAGTATTGGGTCTGAATGAATTCAACTCTGTAAAGTCTGATAAACATCATCCTAGGGTATGAAAGGAATTGACAGAGGATATTTTGGTCCCCTTAGCAATAATATTTATAAAGTTAGGGGTGGTGGGCGAGGTAACAGAGGACCGGAAAAAAAACAAAAAAGAGGGCCTGAGAAACTACAGTGTACTTAGTCTCACCTCAGTACCTGGGAAGTTACTGGAACATATCCTAAGGAAGTCCACTGGCAGGCGTCTAGAGGAGAAAAGGTTGATCACAAGCAGTCAGCGTGGATTTACTTGATCTCTTCCTTTGACAGTGTAACTGTGGGTGGATGACGGGAATGCTGTTGATATAGTGAACTTCAGCAGTGCTTTTGACCAGGTCCTGTATGACCTTCTCATAAACAAATTGGAGAAATGTGGCCTGGACAAAACTACTGTAAGGTAGATAGGCAACTGGCTCAATAACCACAAGCAACGGGTAATTATAAATGGATCCATGTCAAAATGGCAGGAAGTTTCGAGTGGAGTCCCATGGGGGTCTGTCCTGGGGTCAGTGCTGTTCAACCTGTTTAATAATAATTTGGATGTTGGCATAGAAAGTTTCTTCAGCTAGTTTGTAGTTAAACATGAAACTGGGAAGGATTGCAAACATGTTGGAGGATGGGATTGTAATTCAGAAGGATCTTGACAGATTGGAAAGCTGGCCTGAAGCTAACGGGATGATGTTCAGTGCTGACAAATCCAAGGTGCTATACCTTGGGAAGAACGATCAAAAATACAAAATGGGTGACCCCTGGCTATATGGCAGCTCTATGGAAAAGAACCTGGGACCCTGGGAAGTCCTGTTACCTAGATTACAGGTAACCTTGTGGGTAGGCTACTGATGAAAAAGGCAGACACAGGTCTATAGCCCAACCTTTTATTTGCTTGCACCTTAAAACATGAAAACAAACATTTATCCCACAGTCTGTCTGGCTACTTGCAACAGCACAACATAGATTTCTCACCTATATTGGCTGGGAAGACTTGAGGTAGAAGGAGGGCAGCCCACAGATTAGCAGCAGGTCTAGAATTTACTGAATTTTCCAAATTTACCTCCATCCTATGCCCAGTATTTATAGATGGCTGGTTTTAATATTCTAATAAATGATTTCTGATTGGTTTTATTTACATTTCTTTGTTTTAGAGGTGCCATATATTGGTGCCATTTTGGATTGGCACCAATTAAAAGGAAAATTAACGTTATCAGCTATCTTTTTGTAGGGGGCAGGTGTAGCCTATAATGTGCCTTCTGGACGAGTCTCTGGATGCCGTGTGCATACGTGCAGCCACGGCATGTACATGGCCAGGAATGCAGCTGGGTGTCATGGAGAGCAGCGCTTTGCGGGTAAGTCTGTTGAGGGCCAGGGGTGTGGGGGAGGAAGGGGTGGTTGGGGGAAGATTGAGGCCATCACAGTGAGGGAGGGACTGGGGCAGGGGCTGAGGGTGCTGCCCAGCCAGGGCAGTGAATGAGACCTAGGGCAGGGAGCGGGACAGAGCCACAGGCGGCTTGTCTAGGGGGGAGCGGGCAAGATGGAGGGGGGGGGGCTCCCCACCGCTGTGTGCACCTCCAGGAGAAGCATGGGGGGCATGTGTCCCCCCAGATTTGTGCATGAGGCAAGGGCAAGGGCAAACTCTGGGTTTTCCACTCTGCTGCCTTTTCCCTGGGAGATGCACGCTGGCTGCGCACTCCCTGCCCATCTGGCAGCAGTAGCAGCAGCAAGTTGTGCCTTCTACTGCTGGGCTGGCAAGGGATGTACAGCTACTGCACAGCTCCCAGGGCAAAGGCAGCAGGGTGAGAGCCCCAGGCCCACAGTGGGCAGCCCACATCTGCCCTTACCGCACTCAGCTCTGGTTAGAAGCATCCCAATGCTTAAAAATGGTGATGGCAGCACTTGAACTAAAGCTCATTTGAGGAGCTTTAGTTCAAGCGCCCCCACCACCATTTTTAAGCGCTGGAACACTGATCCCCTGGACAAGCCATCCGTGGCTCTGTCCTGCTCCCTGCGCCAGCCATGGAGTCCCATTCACTGCCCTGGCGGGGCAGCATCCCCAGCCCCTGCCCCACTCCTTCCTTCACTGTGGAGACCTTGATCTGCCCCTTCACCCCCATGCCCCTTCCCTCCCCTCCGCCCCTTTCCCTCCACAGACTTACCTGCAGAGTGCTGCTCTCCACGCTACCTGGCTGCATTCCTATAAATCGGTTATCAGATTGGTATCGGCCAGTATGACTGGTGAATAATTGGCTATTGGTATCAACCCCGAAAATCTTTATCAGTGTACCCCTACTTTGTTTCACAAACTTTTAGAACTGGACTGAACCAAATCTTTTGTGGACTTGGAAGGTGTCAGTTAGTTGGGATTTATATCTCTGGGCTTCTTATCTCTTTGCCTTCCCCATTGTGGAATCTTGTTCTTATTTCTTCTTTACCTTTATGGACTTCTCTGACAAGGCTGTTTTTTTGTTTTACACATTATCTAAGCATTTTAACAAAAATATATCTATTATAGCAAAATAACATCTAATACATCAGCAATCACTACTACTACTATTTTAAGATAAAGCTATGATGTAGTGTATATGTGCTATTTAATGTATGCTATTCCCTTACCTCCTTTCAGGCTTTATGCTTTGTTTAATTATGTTTGATGGTTTTCTTTACTTCCTGACCAAGTTAGTTGTCACATCTACAAAGGTTCACACTGCAGTCACTAAGAAACAGGTTTCGGGCCTTCTGTTTAGCAACACTTTTGCAGCTTAGCTTAGGCCCTTTGAAAATGGCCATGGCTGGCAACAGACCACAGACTCAGTACGAGTTTACAGTGTGATGCAACTGCACAAAAGGCAGTGCGGTTTTGGAAAGCATCACTAGAAATATTAGCTGCAAGACATGGGAAGTGGTTGTTGCTAGGGCTGGTTAGGTCTCATCTTAAGTATTGGGTTCCACATTAAAAAAAAAAAAAAAGACCTGGAGAAGTTACAGAGGATACAGGGATGGGGAAGAAGAATAACCAAGGGTTTGGAAAGCAGGTCATACGAGGAAAAGATGACTGAAGGAAATAGGCATGTTCAGCTTGTGGAAAAGGTGCTTAAGAGGGGATGTGATAGCAGTCTTCAAATACTTGAAGGGCTGCCATACAGAAGAGGGAAAATGCCTTTTCTCTCTTGCCGCAGAGAGTGGGATACAAACTAATGACTTGAAGTTGCAGTAAAGTAGGTTTAGATTGGATACCAGGAAAAATGTCTTCACTCTTGGAACACTGAGGCAGTGATGTAGACTGTGTAGAGAAGCTGTGGATTCTCCATTGTTGGAGGTGTTCATGAAGAGGTTGGACAACCACTGGTCAGGGATGATCTAGGCATAGCTATGCCTAAGTTCTACCATAGGTATTTCCCATGCTTCTGGGCTTTGCTGTTTGCCTCATAGAGCTGGCAAGGAATTCCTCCCTCCCTGCTGCTACACGTGTCAGGGTTTTTTAAAGCTTTTCTCAGAAGCATTGGGTATTGGCTGCAGCCAAGGCTTGGGATTTTGACTGGAGTGTGCCAGTGTTCCTGCTGGGACTTAAAGCTGGTGGTTCCTGGCTAGAGGGTCCTGCCCTTCTACTTAGGGTCATGACTTATCGCTGTATCTTGTGATCACACCTGTGCTTCCTTCTGTCCTCATACCTTATGAAGAATCCCTTGCATTCGAAAGCTTGCTTAACTTTATCCTAACCATGCAGTTGGTCCAATAAAAAATATTGCCCACAAAATCCTTGCCTCTCCCACTATTTCTTCAGCATTTTAGAAACCATTAACCTATGAAAAGTCGCTTACTGATGCTTTCTGCCCAGGCAAGCAGCTTGTTGGAGGGAGATCTTGCAGACTTTTTGATTATGTTGCCTCAGCTGCTGAACCAGACTGCGCTCTGACTGTGCTCCGGAACCAGGCTTCCTGTGTCCTGTCCCACTTAGTTGTCCCCTCTCAATGCTAGTCATCTATCTAGTTTAGTAACCACATACAAGGGACATGTATAACCATTTTTCCTTGTCTGGGTTTCAGTTATAAATATGGGTCACTTTCAAATCTCTCCTTATTCTGAGGAGAATCAGTCTTATCAGTCAGTGTTACCTCGGTCTTAGGCCAGTCAGTCTTACCTCAGTCTTTGGGAAGACCTTTGAGAAAATTATCAAGGAGCACATCTGCAAGGGCCCAGCTTGAGAGGTAATGCTCAGGTGCAACCATCATGGGTTCATTGAGGGCAGGTCCTTCCTGACTTACCTGGTTTCTTTTTATGATCAGGTCACAAAGTCCCTTGACGAGGGTGTTGGGGTGGTTGTCGTCTTCCTGGACTTTAAGAAGGCCTTTGACATGGTTTTCCACCACATTCTCTTAAAAAAACTAGGTGACTGTGGCATTGATGCCTACACAGTCAGATTGGTGGCAAATTGGCTAGACGGTTACACCCAGAGAGTGGTGGTGGATGGATCATTTTCGACCTGGAGGGATGTAGGCAGTGGAGTTCCCCAAGGCTCGGTCCTGGGGCCTGTACTGTTCAACATCTTTATCAGCAATCTGGATGTGGGTGTGGAATGCACGCTGTCCAAATTCACTGATGACACCAAGTTGTGGGGCGAGGTGGGCACGCTGGAGGGGAGGGACAGAATCCAGCTAGATCTAGACAAATTACAGAGGTGGGCGGATGAGAATAGGATGGAATTCAACGCAGACAAGTGCAGGGTACTGCATATAGGGAGAAGGAACCAGCAACACGCCTATAAGCTGGGGAACACCCTTTTTGTCAACACGGTGGTAGAAAGGGATCTTGGAGTCATTGTTGACTCCAGGATGAACATGAGCCGCCAATGTGAGGAAGCAGCCAGTAAGGCGAACCGCACCTCCTTGTGCATCTACAGATGCATCACAAGTAGGTCCAGGGAGGTGATCCATCCCCCTCTATGTGGCATTGGTCAGGCCACAGTTGGAGTACTGTGTCCAGTTCTGGGTGCCGCACTTCAAGAGGGATGTGGCTAGAGGAGGGCCACTCGAATGGTCGAGGGGCAGCAGGTCAGGCCCTACGAGCAGGAATTGGGGGAGGCTCTGTTTCCCCGGGCACCACCCAGGGTTACTAGGAGTAATGGCCACAAATCATTGGAGAGAAGGTTCAGGCTGGACATCAGGAGACATTACTTTACAGTTAGGGCTGCCACGCTCTGGAATGGGCTCCCAAGTGAGGTGGTGCTCTCTCCTACTTCAGGGTCTTCAAGAGGAATCTGGACAGATATTTGGCTGGGGTGATATGACCCCGGTACCCGTTCCTGCCTGGGGCAGGGGGTCAGACCTGATGATCTGTTTAGGTCCCTTCTGACCATAAGCACTATGATACTATGAGACAAATGCATAGAACACAGAATCCCAAAATACCAAGGTTTCCTGCAGATCCTGGCTTTTAGGTAGAGAACAGAGGGAGGGGCTCAGACCACTTCCTGCAGGGACTGAGCCCCCCAATCCTAGTTCACACAGGGGAGCAGGGCTTCAGACGCACCTTTGAGAGCCAGTGCCTCCTTCTCAGTGTTTAGATTCACCCCATATAGGGTACTTAATTTTTCGTAGCATGTCATGTTTGACTTTTTTTCCATGTAAAGTTATTGGGTGCCACATATTACATGGAGTAAATGTTGAGTGACTGAGGCTTGCTGATAGTTTTGGTTTTTGTTTTGGTTTTTTTGGGGGGGGGCGCTACTGGCTTAGTTAGATTCTCAGCAAGATACTGCTTGTGATCCTGTCCTGAACCCATTACCAGGTGACATTACAATGAAATAATGTATAACAATGTGTGCCAGGGAGATGGCTTGAATATGATGATAAACTGAAACACCAGGAACACTTCAAAAGGAAAAAGGCAGACAAGGTTCCTTGGGTGAATTTGATATCTTTTATTAGACCAACCCAAATGGTTGGAGAATAGTTATTAAGCAAGCTTTCGGGTTCAAAAACCCTTCGTCAGGCTCAGGAAGCTGCAGCAGTTGGTGTGTGCTCTTCCTGGATGGAATGAAAAGTCCATCCAAGAAGAGCACACACCAACTGCTGCAGCTTCCTGAGCCTGACGAAGGGTTTTTGAACCCGAAAGCTTGCTTAATAACTATTCTCCAACCATTTGGGTTGGTCTAATAAAAGATATCAAATTCACCCAAGGAACCTTGTCTGCCTATATCCTTAGACCAACACGGCTACAACCTAAACCCCTCAAAAGGAAAAAGAAACTCTTTGTTTTGCAAGTTGGAAGTGATCACCTTTTATGTTGCATATTCCATTCTGTGAGCTTGTTGATTGGGTTCTTAAGTCAAGCAGCTAGGTTATTTTATAATTATAATACTATCTTTCTTTGCATTTACAGATACAAGTTATATATCTGCTTTTAAGCTGAACCATGAGTCTTGTACTACATGATCTGCTTGTTTGCTGCCATCAACTTGAAAAAGATAAAGTTACAGAGCGAAGGGTAATTCATTTCAGTATGAATGTCCGACTGTGTATGTAAAGCAATGGAATGAATACATAATACCTTTTTTTCTGAAACGTTTTCAGAAAGAAATTGAAAAGTTTAAACGACTTATCCGTGATTCTGAAACAATTCAGCAGCTGGATCGGAATTCTGATTCTAAACAAGGAAAACAACTTAACTGGGATGCTGTGTTTAGGTACTTTTGTGTCCATAGTGCCTTCATTTGTTCTCTTTCCAAATTGTCATTTTCTCCACACAGAGCAGTGCTATATTGTTTCATAGTATAGCAGGTCAACACCACCACTTTTGTACATCTGAAAATTGGAATCAGAAACTTATTTGTCTGCTTATAAAAAAAAAAATAAAAGAAAAGATGAACTGTAAATCATCTTTAAAGTATATCAATATAATTCACACAAAGAAAGTTAACTGCTGTGGTGTATTATTGATCAATTTCAGTGGATGCTAAGGGATGTCTATGTTTTAAACTGCCAGCAGCAGACTAGGTTGAACATAGTTAATTATAAATATATTTATGATTATTAATAACTTAATTTTATTACAAAGTTATAGTTTTGTAATAAATACTTCAAATGCTTCATTGTAATACAAAATTATGATCTTGTTGCCCTTATGAGAATGAAAATATGTAGTTTGTGTCTGATTTTCAGATTGCAGTTTTTTAAACATACACAGAGTATATAATTCAATAAAAAACTTTGTTTTTAAATTAATCCACTGAAGTGTAATTCATGGCCTAAAATAAATTATGCTACATGGTCTGTGAAGGCCTGTATCTTTAATACTGAGGTCTGTTTCATATATGTTGCAGATTGAGTCCTTCTTCAACTCAAACCTCCAGCGAGCCAGAGAGAACAGATCTGTGGGCTATATGATTGGCACTTATGCCTTAGTTAATCATTTCCTGACACAAACTATTTCTATTAAATTTGCTCTGACAGTATGTACTAGTGTATGAAAGCAAAATCTATATACTAGTTAAGCAGTTTTGATTCAGAAAAAGACTCAGGAGTTTGTTACTCACTTGTTTTTACAATATTCATTCTAATATTATAAAAGCCTTAGTCTGTCTGTCTGTCTATCTGTAACACCTTATTTACACTCTGATTGGTTGTCTGAAACAACCAAAGTGCTCCAAAAGCATTCCAGACAGGAGGTGATGGAGTGGGATGGGATGGTGAGACAAGCAGCGCTGGCCTCGCCCCCCTGGCCCTGCTCCCTGGAGGCAGCAGCAGCGTGGGGTGCTGGTCAAGGGGGATGACAGGGCAAGTACCCCCCGCTCCTGAGAGGCAGCAGCATGGGGTGCTGGAGGTGCAGTGCTAGCCTTGGGGGGCTCCCCCCTCATTCCGGCCTTGCTGCCGCAGGACCCCAACAAAAGCCGACAGGGAGGGGGAGGCAGCAGGGAGTGGGGGAGGAAAGGGGGGCACACAGTGACGGCGCCCCACTGCTGGGCCCTGAAAACAGCCAGGATGGGGTTGTGCACAGCCAGACATGCTGCAGCAGCAGCACGGGGTGCTGGGTGGCGGTGGCAGCCGCTGTGTGCAAGCTTCCCCACCCTGGCCCTGCTCCTGGGACATGGTGGCACGCAGCAGCGCTGTGGGTGGAGCAGCAGGGGGTGGGGAGGGCACACTGAAGTGAACTGGTGGGGAGTAGGGGCAGCGTGGGCTGGTGGGTGGCAGCACTCAGGGCCCAACCCCCCTCCTCCCCCGCCCCCCCTCAAGTATCTGCATAACTTATGTGGTTTTTGTATTTGCAAAGATTTCTGCAGACATACATCCAGAAAGAAATGGAGAGCCTCAGGCTGGCAAAACCAAATGTGTCTCTCTCAACACAAAGTTCCAGACAGAAAAAGATGCAAGAGATCGGAAGTTTAGTCAAATACTTCATCAGATGTGCCAATAAAAGTTAGTAACATATATCTAAATATAAGTCTTGATGTTTTAATGTTTTACTCTCAGGAATGAATTTTTGATCTAAACCAGATGACATACAGTTTTAATGTATACAGTGGCCATGCTTGTGAATTATTATATATCTTGAATATCTAAGTAAACATTTTCAGGTGCCCGAAGAGGGGCTGGCTGATCAAAATTGTCATTTAAGACAGCGGTCTTATGTCCTCCAGTTTTGGGATTTAGCATAGTGTTTATGTCGCTACTAATTTGTTTGCGTCTTTGAGATGCCTAGTTGGGCTGTGCAAAGCTTCAGTAGCCGATTCGATTTGGAGGAGATTCAGCCCGATTCGGCAACCAAATCTCCAAATCCAAATCAAATCAACAGACCAATTAAAAGGTCCAAATCGAATCAAAAGCCTCTGAATTGATTCGGAAAAATTTGGTGCCACTTTGGATATTTGGCCATAGACTAAACAGGCAGCAGTCCTCACCATGCTGGGCACAGCTGCTTCCAGTTGGTAAGTCTGTTGTGGGAGGAGGGGCTGAGGCTGGGGCTGGGACAAGCTACGGAGCCGGGGCGGAGGGGCACGGGACTCAGGAAGCGGGGGCAGGGGCTGCACTTGGCAGTGCTGGGAGCGGAGGCTATGCCCTGCTGCCGCTTGCCCAGACGCGACAAGAGCGCACTGCAGGTGCAGTTCGCTCTGGGCAGAAGAGGGCATAGCCCCCACTCTCAGCGCTGCCACACCCTGGCTGGGCAAGCAACACCAGCGCCACACCCTGACTGACCAAGCAGTGCCCACACCCCGGCTGGGCAAGCAGTGCCCATACCCCAGCTGGGCACAGGACTTGGGACGGGGGGCGTGGGATGTCCGTAACACTGCTGCTGCTTGCCCTGCCAGGGTTGGGGAGCAGGTGCTGCCGCTGCTTGCCCAGCTGTGGGGGGCAGCGCTGGATGCGGGCGCAGCAGCGGTGGGAGTGGGGGCTATTCCCTGCTTTAACCCAGAGCGAGGGGAGGAAGGCAGAAGGGAAGTGGCAGCAGGGCATAGCGCCTCCCTGTGCCCCTCCCCGAGTCCCACGCCTCCCCTGCCCCAGCTGGGCAAATTGTCCCAGCCCCAATCCCTCCCCTCTTCATGCCCCTTCCCTCCCTGCTCTGCCCACCACAACAGACTTACCAGCTGGAGGCAGCTGTGTCCAGCGTGGTGAGGACTGCTGCTTATTTAGTCTATGGCCGAATCTCCAAAGTGGCACTGAATCTTTGGATCCAATTTGGCCAAATCGAATCAGGACAGTGATTTGAATCTCTGAATTGAATTGCTGTTTCTCCGAATTGACCAAATCCGAAGTGAATACTTGCTGCTTCACACAGGCCTAGTGCCCAGAACTAATCACATTATTTTAGGTACGGTCCCATCAGAACCTTGTGAAAGGTGACGCTATCACTTGCCTTCAAAATAATCCTATTTGCATTTTTGTGATTGAGTTCATCACCACCCCTATGGGTTTTTCAGCTTTACTGCTCTCCAGATTTCTTCCTATGATTACATGTTTCAGTTTCTTTTCCTCTGTATTAATATGCACCTTTTCCAGTTAAATATCTCTCTAATTTCATTCTAATGTTTCTAACTACTTGGAATTCTTTTGTATTACTTTTCTGTCTTTAATATTCACAGTTTCTCACATTTAGTGTCCTCTGTAAATGTAGCCAACGTGGGTCTTATCCTCTTTCTTTCAGATCATCATCTAATACATTATTAGAAAGATGTTCTTTAAACACAAGGAGATTAAGTCAATTTGAAATTGTAGCTTAATATGTCAGGTAAAAATGGTGTACTAGGCCTGTGTTATTTTGGCTATTTTAAAAAATGCTGCAAGTCACAAGTTGCAATGACAAGACTTAAAATATGCATGGTTGCCAGAAGAGCACAGTTGAGAGAGAGGATATTGTTCCTCCTAAATAAATAAAGGATTGTTCAAAGTTCGTTAATCAGTTTGTTAACTCCAAACTTCACTTCATTATACAGTTTTCAGTTTAAAAAAAGCTCGTTTGTACCGCTGGTATTTTCTGTATAGGAGCACCCCGATTGAAATGTCAAGAGCTTCTAAATTATATCATCAAAATAGTGAGAGATGCATCAAGCTGCGCTGTTTATGGAACTGACTGTAGTAGCATGCTACTAAAGGATGTTCTTTCAGAGAGGAAATATTGGTGTGAAATATCACTACAACAGTGGTCAGGTTAGTATATATTACTCCTAAGTCTGTATACAGTATATATTTCCTACCATAAAAAAATGTATGCTTGGTGGTGGTTTATTCGTAATGCTTCTGGTACTGTACAGACACAGCATGTCAGACAGCTCCTAACCCAAACAGACAACATAGACAAAAGGCATGTGATATTCCTGTAGCACGTGCATCAGGTGGCCATGCCCTGACTCGGGGCAAGCATCTGCAGCCTGGGGAGCCCACATGGTTCCGCTTGCACACGTGTGCCATGGGAATCCCCTACAGGGATCCCTAATTGGCATATGGCAGCATGATACATGTACAATAGGAATTCCCTGCAGCAGGGTTTCCCAGATGCATATATGCAAGCTTGGGGCAGCACCTGGGGCCATTGCCTCTCACAACTGGGTCCCTGAAGCCCAGGGAGCAGTAGGGGCTCAGCCCTGAAGGACAGTGCCTGTACTGATGTCTGGAAATGCCAGTGAAGTGGATCGGTTGTGCTAGAACATCCCACTCCAAAGGCAACTCCTGTTTATAGCCTTAATGTACATTTGTATCTGGGATATTTTTGAGTGTTTGATGATGTGGTTTCTCATGCATTTAATTTACTGAGAAGTATTACTTGTATTTTGGAAGGTCCCAAGCAGTATTGGAGCCCCACTCTTATGCTCTGTACAAATGTTTTAACAAGGCAGGACCTGAAGAATTTATAGTTTGATGCAAAAAACTGAGGAAGCATTGGAAAATGGGATGTGACCTACAAACTGTATTCAGGGTTCAAGTATGCACATGGTTTCCTAGTTACTTTTCTGTGGCATGGTTTTGCCTCTAGGACAGATAACATGAAATACAGAAAAGAGGGACACCATCTAAATAAGTAAAATATGTATGCACAAAACTTGAATTTTGATTTAATACATGACTTCCCCCCCCCCCCCCCC